GAAACGCAAAACATTAATTTGAAAACGCAGTATCGAAAGGTTCGAATCAAAGAAAAATATCGAAAAATCTGCGTCCGTGACAGCTCTTCGTTTTTGTAGTCCTTTATGTTTTTTTTTTATTTAAAACACTTATACCACATCAACCACGCAGGGTTATTAGTGGGATGACAAACACAATAGTTTTAATACAATTATGTACATTAAATAGTAAAATACAATTTGATGTCTCTTAAATAATTTAATACATTTAAATTTTTTTCTGTCAAGATGGACGTGAGGTCGTCTGGAATTCCATGCATTCTTCTTTGATTTTGGAAACATGGGCAATCAAGCAGGAAGTGTTTTACTGTCAATGAAGTGGAGCAGTTATTGCAAATTGGCGGTGGATCTTTACTGATTAAAAATTTGTGTGTGACAGCAGTATGACCAATTCTTAAACGGTTTATAATTACTTGATCTCGTCTACTTGTGAGGTTATTCAAAGAGCTGTTCACCTTTGGGCATATTGTGTTTAATTTGGTTACTGAATTTTCCCAGTAATTTTGCCAAATGTTATTGCAATGATCTTAGATCAGATGTTTCATGTCACTATAAGGATATTTTGTAATTTTTGTAGTATCTTCTAAGTTGATACGGCTTGTAGTTGCTAGTTGATCTGCTTTTTCATTTCCCCAGATTCCAGTATGCGATGGTACCCAAATGAAAGCTGTGTCCTTTCCCATGGAATGAAGTGTTTCTAATTCATTTTTTATTGCTTGTATAATGGGATTTATTGTATAAATTTTCTTTAATTTAAATAAAGCATTAAGTGAATCTGTAATGATAACGCACTTCATGTTGTTACTCGTTTTGAAAAAAGTTAAGGCTTTTAATATAGCTGTGGTTTCGCCTGTGAGTATACTACAATTTGTAGGTAAGTGTATGCTGTAGTAGTTTTCTTCATCAGAATAGTAAGCAGCAGCATGTCCATCTATGGTTTTAGAGGCGTCGGTAAAGATTTGTAAGTAGTTGGGGTAATGTGATATGATTTCTGCAAAAAGATGTTTAATTATGGAGAAGTTTGTGTATGATTTGAGATACTTTCTTAGTGTTAGGTCAATGGTAAGTAGGCAAGATGTCCATGGAGGGAAGATTGCATTTGTATATAGCAATAGACTAAATTGATCTATGTTAAAATTGGTGACTTTTATTCTTTCTATTAAAGGAATACAGTTTGTTGGCTTTTTAAAAGAGAGGATGCCAGGGTGGAAAATTTGAGAGAAAAGAGGATGTTGTTTTTGAATTGAAATTTTGGCAATATAGTTTAGTGATAATTGTTGTCGCCGTATGTTTAGAGGTGGCTCTTTAGCTAGAACTTGTAAACTGCTAGTGGGACTAGTTCTAAATGCACCAAGTGCCAATCTTAAAGTTGCAGATTGTATACCGTTAAGCTTTTTTAAGGTAGTTTTGCTTGCAGAGTTATAACAAATGCAACCGTAATCGAGTTTACTCCGAATGAGTGATTTATATAAGTTTATTAATATTTTAGTATCTGCGCCCCAAACTTTATTAGACATAATTTTGAGTATATTTAAGCTAGATTGACAGGAATGTTGTAGATTATTGATATGTAAGTTCCAATTTAAGGTTCTGGTAAAAGTTAAACCTAGAAAATTTACTTCTTCTGATTGTTTTAATGCTAAATTATTTAAAGTTAGGTAAGTTGAGTACCGAGATCTGTTTTTATTAAAAATTATGTAATGTGTTTTTTCTGTAGAGAAGTTAAACCCAGTTTTTAACGTCCAATTTTCAATCCGAGTTAAAAAATTTTGTAAAATTTTAGTTGCCGATTTTATATTGTTTGATTTAGTATAAACTACGATGTCGTCAGCATAAAGGCTGGCTTTAATTGGTGCTCTAATTTCATCAATAACACTATTGATAGCAATTAGGAATAATGTTGGACTTATGATGGAACCTTGAGTGATTCCGTTATCTAATGTTCTTGTTGAACTTTTAAGCCCATTTATCCTAATTTCTATTGATCGATTATTTAAAAAATTATTTACAAATGCTAGTATGTTACCTTGAATCCCGTTATCGCTTAGATTTTTCAAAATGCAGTGTCTCCAAGTTCTCTCAAAAGCTTGGCTTATGTCAAAAAAAATAGCAATCACCTTTATGTTTTTGTCTGTTTTCTGATGATCTAGTCTAGTAAATAATATAATAATATATAAGTAAATAATATAATAATATAATAATATAATAATAATAAAGTCTAGTTAATAGCAAGCAACGCACAAGAACTACAAAATATAATAAATGCGGTAGTTCACCACAGCGAAATGTTCGGCTTACATCTAAATGTTTCCAAAACGAAAACTTTAGTATTTTCAAAGACACCAATAAACATACATGTGTATGCCAAGGGTCAAATGATAGAACAGGTAAATTCTATAAAATATTTGGGAGCAAATATCAATAGTCAGTGTAACCCAAAAAAAGAAATACTATCAAGAATCGAACAAGCAAGAAGAACATTCATGAGCATGAAAACATTTTTTACAAGATCAGACCTTAGTCTGCAGCTTAGAATCCGAATGATTAGATGCTACGTTTTTTCTGTCTTACTATATGGCTGTGAAAGTTGGACAATGGACTCCGAAATAGAAAAAAGAATAGATGCCTTTGAGATGTATGTATACAGACGAATATTGAGAATTCCATGGGTACAAAGAGTTACTAATGTTGAGGTACTTCGTCGAATGAGTAAACAAAAAGAATTACTAAGAATAATCAAAGAGAGGAAAATGCAATACTTGGGTCATGTGTTGAGAGGCGAAAAATATAAATTACTTCAAGTTATACTGGAAGGAAAAGTACAAGGCAAAAGATCAGTAGGAAGACGTCAGAACTCATGGCTGAAAGACCTAAGGAGATGGTTCGACCGCTCATCCGCAGAAATCTTTCGCGCAGCAGTTTCCAAAACTACAATTGCCATTTGGATCGCCAACCTTCGAAAGGAGACGGCGCCATAAGAAGAAGAAGAAGTCTAGTAAAAGCTTTCTTATACACTCTTGTAGCTTGGCTGCATTTAGGTGTCCACCACCGATTTTTTTTCCTTATGATTCTTCACGAAAGTCTACAGTTGATTTAAATTTTCTTTGTATATTGAGTTAGCCACCAAAACCTGCGCAATTCTCTCTTTCTTGTCTATAATAAATTATTACTAATTTTATAAGTAACACAAACATAACTAAAGTAATGTCGGTCATTAAAACATTGGCCCTCCTAGGTGGAAGGCTTTATTTGCACATTTCCTTTCGGAGCTTCAGTTTGTTGTTTGATGTATCGTCACAATGACCATTCTACGTCGGACCTGTATGAGCGACACTTTTGTCAGTGGCCCAGGGCAGCCAGGAGCCGCCCATAATAGTTAATGACAACAACCGTGAACAATAAGTCTTTTGTGGATTGAGCCATAACTAAAGCTCTAGTTAAAGCTGTGCGTTCTATTGTCGAGTCCACGGCATATTGTTTTAATGAGCGATAACCGGTGTACATTTGCATAAAAGATAGAGAGGAGAAAAATCTTGTAAATGTGCAATGTACGCCGAATTGTAATTATATAGGTACTGAGCGTGCTAAATTTACACAAAAATTATTAGGTGTTAATAATCTGACACAAATTTTAAATCTCTTTTTTAAAAGGGTAAGATGCACATATTTATTAATAAATATTAATAACTATTATTTAATAGTAAATTCAGTAGATAAACATTGGTAATTTGATAATAAAAATATTCTTATTAAAGCTGTTTTAAAATGTTCTGAAACTTCTTTCTTGTAACATCTCTGATATAATTTCTAAAATTAACCGTTTCTAAAAAGTACATTGTTTTTCATATAGGGGAATTTTTATCTTCAGAAAATTGAATAATCTGACAACGTCATACGCAGGGACAGTGCTTCTGAATAAAAAGCCGTTTGTGACTTTATGTTTAGATGTCAACAATGTTAAATTGTTTATTTACAATTTAACATTGTTAACATCTTAGCGAAATGTAACTAATCTTCTTCTTCTTAGTGTCCAGCTTTTCATTCTATACAATAAAGTCGAGAACACGTAGCGTCTTAAGACTCTTATCCTTATCTCCAGAGGAAGGTCTCTATTAACAAACATTGTTTTTATTTTTATAAATACTTGTCTTACAATATCAATACGTGTCCTTATTTTTCTACTTTGGTCATTGGTATTATTGCATTGATCTGTTAACCACTTTTCCTTAGTCTTTTTATCTCTCCTTTAATTTTACTTTATAGTTCTTGATATTTTGGCTCGTTTCTCCATTTGGCTTTTCTCCTCTCTTCCATTAATGCTAGAATTTTTAAAGTCATCCACTTCTGTTTTTGAATTGTCTTTTCAGACTTTAAATTTTCTTTATTTATAAATATTGCTCCATTTTTCATTGACATCTTCTAATGTGAAGATTTCTTCTCCTACTAATAGATTTGAGTTGACTTGTTGGATCATTTTTTGTTTTTGATTTTTTTTTTGTTATTTTTGTATAATCAAACGTTGGTTTATTTTTAGGTATTACAATATTTTTGAGATTCACGTGCATTCTAGCTATCTGCGGGTTATGGTCTGAGTTGACATCTGCTTTGGGGTATGCTTCTACTGCTTTATTTGTGTTTTTGTATATATTTTTGACTAATATATGCTGAAAGTATTTATAAGTAATACATACCGCAATATACCGAAAGTTTGAACACGATATTAGCTGAACTGAATTTGGATTTCGAAATATTCTCTGCACCCAATAAGTATTCTTTATTCGCATACAATGGTGTATCCAAGAAATAATTAGACATGAATTAAGAAAAGTATTTATGCCTGATTGACCAGAATAAAGCTGTTGATAACGTTCGTCATCACAATCAAAACCAGGTTTTTGTCTTCACCGTTTTTCGTAAATGTGTGCTTTCATTTTTTATCTATATTTAATAAAACAATTCTTTTATGAAATGCTTTATTTTGTATATTTAAAATATTAGTAAGTATATTGGATTTCTTCTGCATATTCACTGTAAACTTCTCGTATTTTCTGATAGTATCTAGGATTTGACTTAAGTTGCAACTCCTTGTTTATATCCATGTAAATCAGATTTTCGCCGCTAGTTTTGGTCCATTTTTTCGTTGACATAGGGTCTCTGAAAAAATAATTTATATTATGGTAAGTTTACTAACTAAAGATATACAATAAACCGAAATTGTATCAAAATTTATTGTAATATCATGTTCACACTTACAAAGATAGATCAAGTTATAACGATTCAAGGATTAATGAAAACACAAATGTTTGGCATACACAAGTGAAGGAACAACCAATACAAAGAGTGTCTTATTAGAACTATTTTGGTTGGTATATTATTGGTCAACTAAGCCACAATTATACTTTAAATTAAGTTCATTTTAATCTATCGATTTCCCTGTCGGAAATTTTGAAAACGATTTCCGAAGTGGATAATGAAACTTTAAAATAAATTCAGATAAGGATATATACTGTGAAACTAAGATAGCTCGTACATGTTTAAAAATAAGATTACTTTTCTGTAACTATAATTTGAAGCTTTAACTTTTGAACGTAATCAGGGAAGAAAACTTGTGGCCTATACTGAAAAATAATAAAATGGACTTAAAATGAAACCTAACGTTTTGGAGTGACTGCCATGTTGATTACAATCTCCATAAAAAGAGACTCAAGGCACATTCTAAGCTAAAAAATGATTACTTGAGAAAGGCAACAGATGAAAGTGGCATTTTTGTCCTGGAATTTGATTACGCACAAAATCTACCATTGACAAAGAAAACAGTTCTTTAAAGGACTTTTGGGGATGTACGTATTAATTATACACGTGTTCATAATTATTAATTATTAATTATACACGTATTCAAAATAAATTAGAAGATTATCCTAATACCAAGCATTTTTTTTTTTGAGATGCAGATGGAGGCCAAAATAAAAATCAGATTTTGTTACGGTTTTGTTCTTGGATATCAAACTTATACAGAATTGAAGCGACACATATTTATCTTGTTCGTCGACACCTCTTTAGTCAGTGCGATAGAAATTTTGGGGTTATAGGATAGACCTTAAAAAGAGTTTTAGATATCGAGGGACCCAAAGTCTACCTAGAAAAAATCATACAGTGCAGACAAAATCCTTCTCTTTTGCCTCTTGACATGACTCTATAATAGATGACTGGGATGCAAAACTTCTTTCTTATTGTTTGCGGAAGCCTGTAAATAAAATTGTGAGTTTAAAATAAAACAGTATCACGTGCTGAAGTATAAACCTTGTGGGTCACTGGCTGCTTCTAAAACCTGCTTTGAAATATATATAATTTTTTTAAATATGTAAAAACGTTGCCTTACTTTTACACCTTTGCCTCTTGTCTTTAATAATGAGTTTAAAATAAAAGAGGTGGGAGACTTGTACCAGTACTTAAGAAAAAAAGTTTAAAAATCTACAAATTTTTATTTTAAGAAAGGACACCAGCTGAAAAAGACAATGAGAGTAGTGCTGATGATTGAGATGGAAAATAAATTTAGCATAAAATTATATTAAATGAAATGTAGTGTATAAACATAAAAGTTTTCTTTTGCACACAGACCTTGATTATTACTTAAAACCTTTGTCCACTATAATATATGTAATATAAACTGTAGTATTACAACAGTATAAGGTTATGTAGTATAATAGAGAAAGCAGTGGAATACAATAAACCTCTAGTTCTAATATTTATCGATTTTCACAAAGCCTTTGACACAGTTGAGCTAAGCAAAATATTACAGGCGCTTAAAGAATGCAGGCTAGATTATAGATATACTAAATTATTATACAAAATATACCTGCAGGCAACAACCACTGTCAGATTACATACTAACAGTAGTCGCATAAAAATAGAACGGGGAGTTAGACAAGGAGACCCAATGTCACCTAAACTTTTTAATAAGGTGCTAGAACATGCTTTTAAGAATTTGGATTGAATGACAAAGGGAATAAAAATAGATGGAGAATATCTAAACAACTTACGTTTCGCCGATGATATACTGGCAAGAGAGATGGTACAGGAACTCGTTGTGGCTACAGAAAATGTAGGTTTGAATATAAATATCTCGAAGACAAAAATCATGACCAATTTGGTGCCCAACCAGAACATCAGTATTGGTGGGAAAGAAATAGAACTCGTAGATAGATATAAATACCTGGGACATGAAATTATGATTGGCAGAGATAACCAGACTCATGATCTGAAGAGAAGAGTCGGCCTTGGGTATGCAGCATTTGGAAAACTGAGAGAAACTTTTAAAAGTGAGCTGCCCACATGCCTAAAGAGAAAGGTATTTGATCAGTGCGTCCTCCCAGTCTTGACGTACGGTGCAAAAACACTTACCTTAACAAAAGCAGAAGCTACCAAACTGAGAGTCACGCAGATAAGAATGGAGCGGTCCATTTTAGGAATAACTCTCCGAGGCAGAATAACAAACGAAGACATCAGGAGAAGAACCGGAGTGACTGACATCATCGAGAAGATAGCCAGACTAAAATGGAGATGGGCAGGACACATAGCCAGAATTACAGATGGGCGATGGACAAAGAGGTTATTGAAATGGAGGCCAAGGAAAAACAAGAGAAGCGTCGGTCGACCACCTACAAGATGGACTGACGATTTAAGAAAACTCAATAAAAACTGGATAAGAGCGGCGCAAGATAGACGGGGTTGGAAACATGAAGAGGAGGCCTATGTTCAGCAGTGGACTCTTGAGGCTGGATGATGATGATGGAAGTAAGGAAATTGATAATGTGCATGTGTCATGGATCCGTGCCAAGCGCACTGTCTGAAAACTCAGCCTGGCACGGGTCCGTGCCATGCACAGTGAAAGGGTTAAACAATATATACATGGATGTTAATTCTTTGAATACTTCTTGTTCCTCAAAATACTCTTTTAGCAGATAAACCCTTCTTTTAGCTATCGCCATAATTTAATTGGACTTTTTGTAGTTCATCATGTAAAAAGTGATTTTTTTTTAATGTTTAAATGGCATCTTTATTCTATATAATATCAACTAGGACTAATAAAATAAGTTGTCTAATCGCATTATTTTTTTTTAGTTTAAAATTAGTTAAATTTGACTCCAGGAAGTATATAAAATAAATTCGTAGAGCAGTGTAATCAATCTACACTTCACACGCGTTTGTTTCCGAAAACCAATTGAGCACGAAGTAACTTACAAATATTTAATGAAGTTGGTCCATAATGTCAGGAGTTCTTTCTGAACTTTCAAATCTTCCGGCGGGTATTCATTAATATTGCTGTTTACTCGCGATTGGAATAAATAATTCAGCTCTTCGGCGTGTCCGACACCTGAAAGTAAGTGTTTGAATTAGTTGTGGGAAGTGGTATTAGAAGAGATGAGATACATGTGGAGAGCACCAGTAAATTTATGCTGAAAGCTATGTTTAATATTACATTTTATTACAAAACAAGCCAAAACAAATAATTATACTAAAAAAATATTAACCTTATAATAAAACGAAAAACGTTATAAGTGTATTTTTATGTATGAGAGAGTAATAAAACAATAAATTATGTATGCAAATCCCTAAACTGTTGATACGGGTGACTCAATGAAAAACAGATATTTGTCAACAAGTTTACAGAAGTATATAGGAAAACAATTTTAAATTGAGTATGACCACCAGGTATAAAGCTTGGAGCAGAATAGAATACAATAGTTGTGAGGGTTAATAATCCCTAAATACGGTTGCCAGTGTCGGAGTGATGGAGGTTAACAGGTACTAATGAATTTGCAAAAAATGTAAGATGTTTATTTTATTGGTTATATAAAACCAATAAAAGTTTAATAAGTACCTACCTATTTGCAAAATAAAGTTTAATTCTTTAGATAAAATAAAACGTTTTATTTTATCTGAAATGAGTGCATTCCACGAAGTAAGGGTTTCAACAATCAAACATTTAATTCTTTAATTCCAGGAATCTACGACAGTAATTGACTAGATAATTACCTTCTAAACTTATTCCACAGAAAATGTGATAGTGGGTTTTTCCATTTTGTAGGAAGGTCCTAGTGGCGTATTCAAAATTTTTAACAGTTCACTAAAAGTAGGTACTTCGGTTGCAAGGTGCAGTTTATTGTGTATACTAGTGTTATGGAAAATCTGGAAGTGCCGTGTAAACGCCGAAAAATTGGTCGTTTAACAGTTAATGAAAAAACATTAATATTTAATTGTTTTAAATCATTTACAGACAAACGTTTATGTGAAAGTGTTGATGAGACCGTTGAGTTAGTTAGCAGTACACTTGGTGTTATGAAATCTACGATTTACAGAGTTATTAAAGAAGAGAAATGTGGTAGTTTTCAAATGCCACGTAATGCTCCAGGGAAAGCAAAATTCCAAATAGAATATCATTTTAAAGAAGGACTTCGACGGAAAGTGCATAAATTCTTCTTTAGACAAGAATTTTCAACATTGGATAAAGTTCTTGTCTAAGTTCGAGATGATAAGGATTACCCAGAAATGAGTCGAAGTACGTTATGGAAACTTTTATAAAAAATAGGCTTCCGCTGGAAAAAGAATCCCAGAAAGTCTATTTTATTAGAAAGAAGCGATATCGTCATATGGAGAAGACAATTTCTAACAACCATAGAGGAAATGTGAAACCAAAAAAGAAAAATATTTTATCTTGATGAAACATGGATCAACGAGGGTCATACACCAAATAAATTTTGGCAGGATGAAACTGTTACAAGTCAAAGGCACGCTTTTGTAAATAACTTATCTACTGGTTTAAACCCACCATCAGAAAAGGGACGCAGGCTGATAATAGTACACATTGGCAGTTCAGACGGTTTTGTTGAAGGTGGTTTATTACCTTTTGAATTAACTCGTACCGGTGACTACCATGAAGACATGAACGCTGATGTCTTTCAAGAATGGTTCGAAAAAATGATAGATCTTCTTCCTAAGAACTGTGTTATAGTAATGGATAATGCAAGTTATCACTCCAGACTTATAGAAGGACTGCCCACAACCAAGTGGTTAAAAAAAGACTTGCAGAATTGGCTGAGTTCAAAAAATATTACGTACCATCCCTGATCTATAAGAAAGGAACTTTATTCGTTGTGTGCCCTTCATAAAAAAAAATTTTAAAAATACGAAATTGATGAAATTGCCAAAAATCGTGGAATGACAGTACATAGATCCCCACCATATCGTTGTGAAATAAACCTGATTAAACTGGTATTTGCACAGATAAAGAGTGAAGTTTCAAGAAAAAATACTACTTTTAAAATTCATGATGTTAAACAGTTGTTTTTTGAGGCCGTAAATAATGTAAAACCTGAAAACTGGGAAAAGGCAGTAAATCACACTATTAAAGAAGGGAAAAATGTAAAAGCTGGACAATATTACTGATAAAATGATTGAGCCAGTTATTATAAATCTTGGTTCTGAAAGTTCATCTTCTGAATCTGATTTGGATTTGTAACAAGTAGCTGTAAGTTTTATATTAATATTTTTATTCATCTATTTAACATACCTTAGAAGGTTTTAAAAACTCTTTTTCTCTTTTGTAATTTTTAAAAATTAAAAAAAATGTGAATTTTTTAAAACCCTTTTTAATGTAGGCCAGTCAGTTCTAATATAGTGTGTGATAAAAGAGGTCACTTTTGTTTACATACACATAACACTTTATAACACTGAAATAATTCATTTATTTTTTACAATTATTCAAAGTAATTTTTCAATTAATCTTGAGCACGCCCATGGAGTGGTCGGAGGTACCAGTTAAAATTATGCTAATTACTCTCTCGTTCATAAAAATAAACTATAAAAGATTTCTATTTTAAAAAAAATTATAACACATTTAGGCTATCAGACCTAGTTGGTCGAAGCCTTTATAAGGTTTGGAACCAATTATTTACAACAAAAAATCTCAATAAAATCATAGTTGATTAAGGAAAAATTTTTTGTTTTTTCTTTTATAAAATTTCGAAAAAAATTGTCAAAATTTTAAATTAGTTGAATCTCTGGTGTAATTTGTGACTGCAGAAACTTTTCCATAACCGTGCAAAGTATTTTAGGTACTCCACATATAGTTTTATCTTTATACATTTTTAAAATAGTTTGTTATTTTTTGTTTTTTTTTGTCATTTTGTTTTTTCTTATTGATATTGAAGTTTTACGCTTATATTTGTGTCATCAGCCAGTCAAATGTTGTAATTGTATGTACGTTGTATCAGAAAAAATAGTACGGCGTTGATAGTGAATCAGAAAGTAATGACAATGTCGAAGAACAAGAAACAGTGTCAAACGAAAAAACAATCCTTGAAAATGGGTCAATTGATACCGGAGATAAAATACCTAGATTATATACATGTTAAGCTAGTTAAGATTTTTATGGAAATTATTGATATGAACGCAGAGATTAAGAATAATCTAGATCTAATTCTTCGTCAGCATTACGAACATTGTTATAAAATCTTAAGAGATGCATCTAAGTGTGATAAATGAGTAGGTGCTGCATTTGTTACGCCAAGCGATACATATCAATTTCGTCTTCCAATCTTCTTTTTGATTTTCTTCGCTGAGCTCTATGCAATGCTTAAAGCTATCATGCATATAAATTCTGATAATATTCCCAACTCTGTTATCTTAAGTGACTCACTAAGCGCCCTTCAAACCCTTAAACAGATGTATCCTAAAGGTCTCCTTGGAAAACTAGTAAAACTAGAACCCATGCAAGCTCAAGAAAATTCTGAAAGTATTAGATTTATATGGATTCTATCCCATATCGGTATTGCAGGAAACGAAAATGCGGACTAGTGCGCGAGTGAAATTGCTAAATTTGCCGATATATATGTATATATATATATATATATATATATATATATATATATATATATATATATATATATATAAATCTTCTCAAACATCTCTTCTTCTTGTGGTGCCATCCGTTACGGATGTTAGCTACTAGTATGGCAATTCTAACTTTATTGACCTAACTTTATTCTTAAACATCACTGAAGCAAATTAAAAATGACGTTTTAGCTTGGGAACCCTCAACCAGGAACAGAAGAGAATAATTGGTGATAAAGAGTTTACGAATTGGACACAGGAGACTTACTCATTCATATTTATTGTCCAAAAGTGATCCAACTATATGTCAAACATGTATTGTAAAAGTAACCGTTAACCATTTGTTAATTGAATGCCATAGATTTGCCAATTTTCGTGTTACATTTAACATACCACATTTTAAGTAATTTATTAAGCACTAATTTTTCAGCTAATGATATTGTAAATCTCTTAAAATCTATAGAAATTTTTCATAAACTCTAATTTTGTAATTCTGTAGCCGCGCTAATAACCATTATGGTGGATGCAGCTGTAATTTATATAAAAAAAAATAATTATATAAGTATAATCATACCAGGTATGCTTTGATTGATGCGTCCCAACAAACCATCATATGAAAATTGATACATATAGATATCTGCAAATTTGGATTGAAGTTCTATTTGTCGACATATTCCAATGGTATATTTAGCATCCGTTGCAAACTGAAAAAGAAAACTTATAAAGAAATATTACCAAATGAATTTTTAAAATTATCTTCATAGTTATGATATTACATTTGTATCTTATTAATCAAATACAGTAAGTCAGGCATATTTATAAAAATCAATTTATAAACTTAGTTTACTCTAATTTACCTATGTTTCACAATGCAATAAACTGCAGAGATTACGGTGGGCAGGGCATGTGGTCCGTATGCATGAATATAGAATCTCCATAAAATTACTAAATGCAAGAATGCAGGGAAAAAGACCTGTTAAAAGGCTTTAAAAGAAATGGAAAGACGAAGTCGATGAGGATGCCAGGAACTGCCTGGGAACGCGTTCATGGAAAAGAACAGCGGTAAATCGAAATAATTGGAGAAGTTTGTTGAAGGAGGTCATGGCCCGATTTGGACTGTAGTGCCATTGGATGGATTGAACTATGTTTCACGACTACTATGCACGCTGTGTTAATTATTGATATTTTTTCATCTTACCTACAAAATTACTGACAAAAACGTATTTGAAAAGGCCGCTCAGCAAAAATATTTAAGATCAGTTATACGTCTTGGGTTATATTCCAAAAAATGGCAACTGACTATTTTCTACCCTATTCAACTGGGGCAAAAACGCTTTCAAATATACTTCGCGAAGAATATTTTGCCTACTAAGCAGGCAAAACTAACTTACATGCCTTCTATTATCTAGTTAAAAGATTTTAAAATGGTCATCTTGTTATAACTTGTGGCATTATATGTAAGTACTAGTTAGTAATACAAACTTGCCTCAATACAAATTATCAACTGAAACATTATATGCCATATATCTAATCCATGCTCGATAGATTCAATGAGCTAAGTTTTAGCCTATTCCATTGCTACCTTTTTAGATCTATTATTTTGATGTACCTGAATCACATATGAACATCCATCCAGCTCCTTCAGGATTCTTTGCAAGAAAGTTCGTTTTAAACCAAGATACAATGCTGTTCTTGACTAGTTGACTTTCGGATTTTCCAAGATTCGCTCAAAAACACGTTCATGGTTACCGTTCTTGTTAGCTACCCTGAGACGCACTGAGTTTTCTTTTCGTTGGCACAAAACATTACCTGTATTTCTAAACTTTTCAACAACCTTTAAAATAGCAGCATTACTTGATGAATGTATATTAAACCGTTGTGTGAATTGATCACACACGTATTGCACACTTGGCCGATTCCATATGACCTAACTAAAGCTCCACATGAAACACTTTCTCCTTTGTACTTAACATCATTTTTAATAATCGGGCCCTAATAATTAATTGTTTAAGGATTACTTGACAGGTCTATACTTACTAGTGAATTTGAATATGACAGTGCGCACAAAGAGACATCTATTTTTCAGTTTCAATACTGTTTATTTTGGGCAATACTGTAATTTTTTCGTTTATAACGTTTTAATAACAAAAGTTTTGTATTAGAGTTTACCAATATATTCTTAACTACTGTTTTCATTCTAAACGAAACCTTTACATAATTAATGTTATGCAAAAAAAGTGTAATAAAAAATTTATTTAAAAAAATATTGAAACGACCTACCTTAACCAATGACAAAAAGTCTTCTTCAAACGTCTTGTCAGTATATATTTTCTTCAACTTATTTCCAGCTAGTAATATGTTTTCCTCTTTTATATTTAAGTTTCCATTCACCATATATTTGTTGTTACTGTCCATATAACCAGCTTTGGATTTTGTATCCACCAAATCTATAAAAGATATATTATTTAGTAATATTAACGAAGAAACAAAATATGTTATTATGCCTATATAGTAGAGCTCTTCTTTAAAATAATAAACATAAGAGTAAGAATCAGAAGAGGACATCTCCTGTCCTGATGTTCATCGTTTGAAGGTCGTCATCCATGATATTCGTGGTATTCGTGGTATTCCTGGTCGTGTATTTATAATGTTATATTTCTTCAGTTTACCTTCTAGTTATCTTTTCACTTAATTTTTACTTCCGTGAAGCAGACTAAGGATTATGGATTTATATTTTTAAATTCTATTTTTTATTTTAAATTTATTTTATCTTATTTTATTTTGATTAAAAAGTGCTGAGCAATTTTTTATCTATTTTTACTTCAACTGTTACCACTATATCTATTAAATTTAACACTGAAATAATATTTGTCTTTGTAGTAATAATAACAAAAAGATTTCTTACTGTATGCAACTTCTTCTTCGGAATTAAACCCAATTAGGACAGGTACTTTACTGAAATTTCCGTATTTAAAATTTTCGTGCATTAGTCCTTTAACGAAGCCATCTTCCTGAGTTTCGACTACTGGATTCCACACTGTGCTTCCTATACTTCCGACACAATTTCTCATGTCATCTGGTATCTAAAACAGTGAATAACATAGTAATACGAGAACTAAGTATAATGCTAACAATGTCTATTAGAAAATAACGAGTTTTTGAAGTGTCATTTGTAAATAAAATAAAATCATCAACATAAAATTGATGTAGAAGGATGTAGAAAAGATCATGAAATTGATGTAAAAAACAAGATCTAGCCGATGTTGCAGTTAAAATTATATAAATTGGATACTAAACTCATTTCATTAAAGAAAAGATTTAAAATAGCAAATATATTGCACAATACTATTATTACTAAGATCAGCAGTTTTTTTAGATGGTAGCTACAGAATTGAATAAATCCCAACCACAACAAATCTTGACAAGTGCGTAAGAAAAAAGTGTAAAAAAATAAACAACACCAGTTTGTCTTAAATTTTGTTTCTATATTACATATTTGTGTAGTATCTAAACTTACTGGTAAATCACTATTATTTTTAATATCATTTGCACTGACATTAATAACGACGTCCAAAATATCTGCGGATGAACTTTTTTCGGTTATTTTATCGTCAAATGATTTCGCTAATTGAACTGCAAAATATCGAGGATGCTTCATAAACATTTTAGAACACAACGGTGATCCACTTTCTTGAATTGCGGCTCTAAAAAGACCTACGGGAAAATCATTAATAATTTTGCATTTAAAGACTGTAATCTTTAAAATTATTTAATTTTACTAATTATTAATAATACAACTTATAATTCAGAAGTTTCTGATTCAAATTTAAACTTACTTCTCTACATATGCTATTAGCTTCTTAATTTATCTTATGCTACCAATTTACAAACTGCATTGCAAATTTTAATTACATAAAACCGCTCTTATGCCATTTTACATACACACATATACATACATACACGCACACACACACGCAATCGTAAGGGATCGCAGAGACCTGATGGAAGAGGGTTACCAAAAAGTATTGTCTGGTGGCCACATTGAACATTAAAAATGCTTTTAACTCCGCTAAATGAAATTGCATTATGCGAGCTTTAACCGAAATGAGTGCCAGCATATCTAAGAAGGTTAATGACTGGTTTCTTTACAGAACGACTTTTGAAATATGACACAAAGTCTGACCCGACAGAATATAAAATCACTGGAGGAGTACCACAAGGCTCTGTTTTAGGTCTTCTCTTGTGGATTTTTATGTATGTTGGTTTGCTAAAGCTAGAATCATCAATAGATGCTACGCTCGTGGCAAACGCTGATGACACGGCTGTGGATATCAACGCAAAGCACCTTGAAGAAATTAACCGCAAGTTCACCATCATCTTCGATTATATCTGCCAGTAGATTTACACAGTTAATTTAAAACTAGCGAAGCACAAAACGGAGGCAGTGCTTATTGCTAGCCGGGAGCAAGTGGAAACCATAACACTGAGCTTTGAAGAACATGGAATCACATCACAACCATTCCTTCCATACTTAGGAATGCTTATTGATGCCAGAATTTTCTTGAAGCAGCAGGAATAGCAAGTCAGTACTAAATCGTCAATGGTAATAGCAGCTTTATCACAGCTAATGCCCAATGTAGGTCTCCCAAAACAAAACAGCAGAAATATCAATTTTGGGCTGACACCCTCGAAACCCAGAAAGCACGAAGGAACGTTGCCAGTATATCATCTGTGCACTTAAAAGAGTTGCCAGCGTATTTCTTATAGTACGTTAGAATGCAATATACCTTATTGCTTGGATGCTACCCATTGGAGTGATAACTGAAGAAAGGAACGGAAAGAACGGCAAGACAACAGTGATCGATGGCAAATATAGTGGGATTCCGCAACAACAATCACATGGATGTATTGTCTTATACCATAGGTGAATTTTTGGCTGAACTGCAAACGTAGAGAGGTCCACTATTTCCTGACGCATATACTCTCAGGACAGCTGTTTTTGAAAATATTTTCATCGCTTTAAAAATAACGATTTTCTAGAATGCCATTGTATCTCGAGGTGGTCAGTGAAGATGCAGAAAACGTGTTGGTCAGGTGTCCTTGTTTCAACTTGCTGCAAATGCTCTAGAAGCAATGATTAAACATTTGACCTGAGACCTTAGTAGAAGCAATGTTTTTATCGCAGGCAAAACGGGATGCAATTGGTACATTCGTGATCGAAGTCCTACAGGATCTTTATCGCCTTGAAAGGAGACGAGTTGTAAATAAAGACGGTTAGAAGAAGAGAAGCAATGATTTCAACAATAGCTTGACCTCCCCTTGTGAAGTAATACCTTATGGTAGTATCATGAGGGAAACAAAGGCAGAAGATGTACCAAGCAGTACATCTAGCCCTAAAGATAAGTAAAAGCATTTTTGGCACCAAAACAAAAAACAAACACACACACAATTAGGTAAACAAAATCGAATTCTTTTTTGTTCTAAATTACTATTACTTTGTTCCCTTGCTAATTATATTATTAATTATGTGGCATGTTAGCACGTTGCCTACCTTAGAGGAATTTGTACTACTTTCTGTTCACGCCAATGCCATTTCTTGCTATATGGTCGAAAAAATTACCGCTCCCGCTCAAAGTACCTTTATATATCCTGTAATATCGGTCTGCCTCGGTCAAATTGACAGAGACGGCACCACAGTCACGTTAAAATTCTCGGTCAAATAGACCTCGCTGGCGTGCAGAGCAATTTTTTCTCGGTCACATAGACCGAGACGACAGGAAACGTCATCTTTGAGAGTTTAAAATTGTCTCACATCAAGGTGTTAAATACTTTATGTATTTAACCTAGTTAGTAAATCTGCGCCTAAAGTAAATCATACCCTTAGCCACTCTTACTGTGCAGTTTTAGCAAATCGCTTATTACAGCAATTTTTGTCTCAATTTATTTATATCTAATAAACCCTTTATTGCGAAATTTTAGCAGTTTACATAACATACCCAACAGAAAACAATGTTTGACTATGCTTAATCATTTAAGTTGAGTTGAATAATTTATTACTACATACCTTTAGATTTCTCGCTTAGAATCTGATGTCCGACACTATTACCTCCAGCACTTTGACCTCCAAGCGTTACTTTGTCCGGATCTCCTCCAAAATTCTTTATATTCTTTTGAACCCATTTGAGCGCAAGGTTTTGATCTTTGAAGCCATAATTTCCTGGAATTGTTTTGTCTCCTGTGCTAAGAAACCCTACAAATGGAAAATTTTATAAAATATATTTTAGATTAAGATCATAGATTTATTTATATAGATTTAGAGAACGCAGAGTAATGAACCAAGGATCCGAACTTCTGCCTGCCATAGCGATAGAAGTAGTGAAACGAACTCTAAAGGAAGTGAAAAACAACAAGGCTCCGGGAGATGACCAAATAGTAATAGAAGCTGTTAAAGTAGGGGGCAAGAAACTGCTGGAAGTAGTAACTGAACTATTCAACCTATGTCTAAACCAAGGTATTGTCCCTACAAACTGGAACAATGCAATTACTATCCTAATACACAAAAAGGATATATATCAGACCTAGAGAATTATAGACCGATAAGTCTGTTATCACATCTCTACAAATGGTTTACCAAGATCATCACACAACGTTTAGAACGAAAATTAGATTTCTATCAGTCTAAGGAGCAAGCTGGGTTTAGGAAAGGTTATGGAACAAATGACCACCTACAAGCACTTAAAATACTAATTGAAAAATGTGTTGAATATAATAAACCACTCACGTCGATTTTCATAGACTTCAAGAACGTTTTTGATACCGTGAAATTACCGGCAGTATTAGGAGCATTAGAACAAAGATGAGTAGACTATAGATATACAAATTTGTTAAAACGTATATACAACAACGCAACAGCATCTGTTAAACTCCATGACTTTACCGATAAATATAGAATTGAGCGAGGAATTAGACAGGGCGACACCATCTTCCCCCAACTATTCAGTGCAGCTCTGGAATATGCCTTTAAAAAACTAGATTGGGCTAAAAGGGGAATAAATATGGTGAATACTTAAGCCACTTGCGCTTTGCAGATGATATTGTCATTATAGCCGAGAGTTTAAATGAAGCTCACAAAATGATGGAAGAACTAAAACAGGCAATAGAACAAATAGGCCTGAACATAAACTTAAAAAAAAACAAAATACATGACCAATTTATTTCCAAGTGATGTTATGAGGGTAGATGGGAACGAAGTACATCAGGTCTTTAGCTATATCTATTTAGGGCATGAAATTAGAATAGGAAAAGACAATCAAACTTGTGAGATCCAGCGTCGCATAGGCTTGGGATGGGCAGCATTTGGCAAGATGCGAGATATTCTAAAAGAAACGCTACCGATTTGCTTGAAGAAAAAGGTTTACAACCAATGCATACTGCCATTAATAACACATGGTTCCAAAACAATAACTTTAACCAAACATTCTGCAAATAAATTGAGAGTAACCCAAAGAAAAATGGAAAGAGCAATGTTGGGAATAACAAGAAGAGATATGGTACCAAATAGGATAGTGAGAGAGAGGACTAAAGTGACACATGTCATAAAAAAAATTGCACAAGCCAAATGGAGATGGGCTGGATATATAGCACGTTTAAATGATAATAGGTGGACCAAAAGACTCATAGAATGGAGACCTAGAGAAGACAAAAGACATTGAGGCAGACCACCAAAAAGATGGATGGACGACTTGAGAAAAACAGTCGGAAATTGGATACAGAAGGCGCAAGATAGAGAACAGTGGAAGAACATGGAGGAGACCTATATTCAACAGTGGATGCAAAAGGTTGAGGAATGATGATGATGATGATGATGACGGGTTGTCCAGAAAGTAAAAAACGATTTCGCATTGCAAGCGTTGCCGATTTCCCACCGCCATAATTTTATCCGTGCCAATTACCTCTACTTGTCACCTCGGCCCATAAAGCCTCGGAACCAGACGGAACCTAAGACGATGAACCACGCAAAGAATAGAAAAACGAGAAGGAAAAATAAGCCCACAATTAGATAAGCGACATGGAACATTACTTCTTTCAACAACAAAGACCAAAAGATCATAGAAGAACTGATAAATAAAAACATAGACATCTGTGAAATCCAAGAAACCGAGAAAAAAGGTAAAGGCCAAAGAGTATATAACCAATATTTCCTAGCATACAGTAAAGTGAAGAAAGAAGAACGAGCACGAGCAGGCGTGGGGATACTTGTCCATAAAAAATTTAATGACAACATAAATAACTGCCGTTATATCTCCAAAATAACTATAATACTACAATACAACATTGGAGACCTTACGAAAGTAAACGACCAAGAGGAAGACCACAGATGAGATGGGTTGATAACTGTTGCTTAACCCTTTTGATTTTTCTGTACACCGAGCTGGAGCTTGAACCCACTTCCACTAAACCATTCGACAGTGAGGCGAATGAGAATCGGCCGCCTGGCCCGTTTGGCTATCTGACCGACATTTTGTTTTATTTCCTCTTCTTAATTCTCAGAAAATGAAGTATAAGAAATATAACAAGTCAACATAAACAGGGACTTAAATACTTTATTTTGAATTGTCTTACCGAAAGCTCCAAGTCTATAATTCAGCGTTACCAATATAATTCCATAATCCATTAAAAATTGTGGACCAAACCGTTCGAACGTACTTTCCCCTTTAAAAAGAAAACCACCATGGATAAAGACATACACTGGCAATGAACTGGTTTGGAAATCCTTCTAAAAATACAAAAATAAATGCTATTAACCTGATCACAATTTGTGGTTATTTGTAGGAACTAGAAATCTTATACTTACTGCTGGAGTGTAAACGTTAAGGTAAAGACAGTCTTCAGTCTCTCTTGGATCGTTATTTTGTAGCTGCATACAGATTTTTGTATTTTTGGTAGTTTGTAATATATCACTCCACGGTTTTGGTTCGATTGGGTCCTAAAATAGTCAATATTTTTTTCATTTGTCAACATTTATTGTTTAAAAATTACAATATAAAAATACCTACTGAAAAAAGAAATAGCATTTGAAAATAACTTCACAAAACATTGGAGAACTAGACAAGAAACAATATAATCACATAACTTTATAACAAGAAGTCAATATTATATTTATAAATTCAGGAGTACTAATACCACTTGCCTTGAATCGGAGATTTCCCACTGGCGGTGCTGCATATGGAACTTCTTGAAAAGCGTAAAAGCTCTTACCGTTTTGAGAAGACAACTCTCGCCCTTGAATTTTGCCTCCATTCTCTAGCATGACTATTGGTCCTACTTCCGCGCCATTTAACGAGAAACAAATTAGAGCTATGTGAAAAAGTATAGCTAAAGGATTCATTTTGATTTGGTTGCTCATCTAAAACTAATAATTAAATCACTAACCATATAATATACATATACAAGGATAGAGAGATAAGGATGTTTCTCCCAAGTTGACCAGAATTTTTGCCCAATACATATCGAATGTAAAAAATTGCTCATTAAAGCACTATAATTGTGAGACCTATGTACAAGTCATTGAAAAATATAGTACCAAACTCAGATAAAAGTGATGATGAATACACACTTGTTGTTTAGGCTGTAAAAGTTCTTATTTAATCAGACTTCCCAGAAAGTTTCCAGCCGTTTGACTCTTCAATATTGTACAAAATTCTAATTCTAAATTCTTCTTTGTCTAAGCAAATGAATCTTCACTTTCTATTAGAAGATTACATCTCAGTTTACAATACGCAAGCAAGCTAATCCAAACAACCCGACCTACCCCTACGCTTTCTCCACACATTACCATTCTAATTACAATTAAAATACCAGTCTTTGACCATCATTTAGCAAAAGAATTAGCAACTTCACATTTCCGGGTATTATACCTAACAATATTGATTATGCTTCTACTTGGACTATACAGATTACATATTGTAACAAAAATCTGTCAACTTATACTAAGGACAATACCCCTTAATCTCTTTTGCTGCAATACTTCTACAATATTAAAAATAAGTACATACAATACATACAATAAGATTGATGAGTACCAGAATTACCAGCATATTTATACTGATGCCTCCAAATCAAAAAAAGAAGTGGATCAAAGTGGATTAAAAAAAATCTCAAATTTTAGCACAGTATATACAGGAGAACTATTCGCAATCTACAAAGCATTAGAATATGCACTGAACGCCAACTTAGACATGTGCTAATAATAATAGATTCCTTAAGTTCTATGAGTATCTTTGGTACCATTTATCGAACTCATCAATTGTTTTAATTGATAAAGAACAATTTGTACCAACTTCAGCAAAAGAATGCGATTGTAAAATTTATGTGAATTTCGTCACATATGTGTGTCACATGGTAATGAAAGAGTAGATGCTGCCGCCAAATCTTCAGTTAACAACGAAGACTTAATAGAACCTACCTATAACAAAGATTTTCATCACTGGATTAACTCAACATTGAAAGACCGGTGGCTTTAAGAATGGAATCAATCTTAACAAAAACTAAGAGACATAAAAATAACAGTTACAAGATGGAAGAATATGTGTCGTAACAGGAAAGACCAAACTATAATAAATAGACTGAGATTAGGACATGCACGCTTAACACATGAATACCATATTATTGGAAGTGCGGTAAGTGTTTTAACAGCTTAAGTGTCCAACATTACTAATCGGATGCCATGCATATTTAAATGAGAGAAAAAAGTGTATCCTGCCGAAACCGCTTCGCGAGTGTTTAGAAGAAAACTGTGTCTATTCCTCAGTTTTAAGTTTTCTAAAATCAATAGGAATATACAACCAAATACAAACATCAGTACTTGTACAAATAAATGAACAATAGCTCTAATAAAAGCTTCTATTAACCAATGTACTTAGTTTCACTCAGATTTATGTATATAAAAATCTAGATATTTAAAAATCTGTATATATTATTTATAAGTATCCAAAAATATAAAAAAATACTAGTGAAATAAACAAGTTCCCATGTTTTCATATTTATCGACACGATATAAATAAATGTAAATAGTCACACAAAAGAATAGAAACATGAACCAGTTTTGTCCTGGTATAATACCAAAATATTGTTTACAAATAAAACAAGAAAAAGCAGAAAACATTACGATTTAAACTACAAAAGTATTGAATAATTAAGCAATTTTAAACAAGTTGTAGAACGAGATATCTTTGGAAAACATCCACCTGCAGACAGGTACATAAATAATTAGTTTACATTTAATAACAACACTAGTAAAATAAACAAGTTTTTCTGTTTATCGACACGATTAAAATAAATGTAAATAGTCACATAAAAGAATACAGATATGAACCAGTTTTGTCCTGGTATAATACCAAAATATTGTTTACAAATAAAACAAGAAACAGCAGAAAACATTACGATTTAAACTAGAAAAGTATTGAATAATTAAGAAATTTTAAACAAGATTTTAAACAAGATTTTAGAACGAGATATCTTTGAAAAACATCCACCTGCAGACAGGTTCATAAATAATTAGTTTACATTTAACAACACTAGTAAAATAAACAAGTTTTCCGGTTTATCGACACGATTAAAATAAATGTAAATAGTCACATAAAAGAATAAAAATATGAACCAGTTTTGTCCTGGTTTAATATTAAAATATAGTTTACACCTTATAGATAAACTTCATAATTTTAATTACACTTTCAGGTTTTTTCGAAGCGAGCCTTATATGATTTATTCATTAATATTTTGCTATTATATTAGTATATATTTACAAAGATACGGATAACAGTCAACTGCATCTGTTTGATTATGTAAATAGATTAATAATTCTGACTGACCTACCAGTCGTTTTGTTATTAGTGGAAACCTTGACACTTGGCGGGGTATTAAGAACGTTGTAATTAAGTTCACGTGTATAGATAAGTGAGCAAAACGATAATATATTAGTTTGTAGAATTTTTTCTACATGATGTCTCGTATTAGTACTACAGTACATGCATCCTTGAATTATAACAGAAATGTAGTTAACAATATTAAAATATTTTGTTCTGAATTACAAAAACATGAAAAAAATAAATAAATAAAATGCAACCTGTAATATCGGTCAATATATTGAGCAACTACAGGACAGTATAAACAGCTCTCACAAAAGTAAAAGTCAACACTACAAGCACCAGAGCGGTCATTTTAATCGTTTTCTATTTTGACTCCCTGTATCACTTATTTTGGAAACTTCATAATTTGGGAATTTTCCAAGATAACAAGTTTACCAAGATAAATGCAGACCTTATGACAGCTTATTCTGCCTTTCTGGAAAGTTTTTATTTCTTTTCTATATAAAATGCATAGAAAATTATTGTTAGTTAGTTTGATTGTACTATTTGCACTTGCGTGTTCAATCTGTATTGTGATTTTCCCCTTTCTGCTCTTATCATGTCTAGTCGATATTTGACGGAGCAGGTCAGTGTTTACAGAATTTGTCAGATAATGAATCTAAAGTAGAATTATGTGATGAAGATAGATCCGAATATGATATAATGATAGATGGCGAATATATGCCTGACAAAGTGAAACAAGAAGGTAAAAACAAGATGTTGAACAAACTCAATTCTGATTTGGAATGCTCAAGGAACAAGATAAGCATTATACGCAGTAAATGTGTTAATACAGAGATGTTTAGATGTAAACCAGGACATCTATTTCTGCTTCCTAGATTATTACTGAGAAATAATATATATACTGAGAAAATGATGATACTGATATATACCTACTGAGATAATAGAACATCGATACATGGGATATAAGAATATTAAATAATCTGTATTATAAACAAGAAGAGGTCACAAGAATCATCATCATCATCCAGCCTCTATTTATCACGTCCACTGCTGGACATAGGCCTCCCTTAAACTCCTCCATTCCTCACGATTTTGTGCTCTTTGTTGCCAATTTTTAGTGATACGCCTGATGTCGTCGGCCCAACGTGTAGGTGGTCTTCCTCTACTGCGTTTGTCTGCTCTTGGCCTCCAATTTGTAATTTTGCTCGTCCATCGTGAATCGTGCATTCTCGCTACATGGCCTGCCCAGTTTCATTTTAGTTCCGCTATGCGTTCCACAACATCAGTAATACTCGTCCTTCTTCGCAGATCTTCGTTTCTTATTCGGTCCCTCAACGTCACTCCCAGCATAGACCGTTCCATTCGTCTCTGTGCCACTCTCAGTTTCAAAGCCGTGGTCTTGGTTAAAGTCATAGTTTCCGCCCCATAGGTCATGACCGGTAATACGCATTGGTCAAACACTTTTCTTTTGAGGCTGATTGGTATGTTGGCCCTAAGTGTGTCTCGCAGTTTTCCAAAGACTGCCCATGTTAAAGTAATTCGTCTTTGGATCTCACATGTTTGGTTATCCCTGCTGATTCTTATTTCATGACCCAAATATGTATATTTCTCCACCAGTTCTACCACTTTGTCTTGAATAGTCAAATGGTTATTGGGGACCAAATTTGTCATAAACTTAGTTTTGGTCAAGTTCATTCTCAGGCCCACCTTCGAACATGCAAATTCCAATTCGTTTATCATATCTGTAGCTGCTCCTAAATTATGTGTGATAAGGACAATGTCATCTGCGAAACGGAGATGGTTAAGCTTTTCGCCGTCTATCGTTACTCCTCTGTGGTCCCAATTGATCATCTTAAAGGCATATTCTAATGCCGTTATGAATAATTTCGGCGACAATGTATCTCCTTGCCTTATTCCACGATTAATTTGTATTGGTCGGGTTTTATTGTCTATTTTAACAGTCACAGTGGCATTTTTGTAAATATTATAAATAAGCTCACTATACCTATGGTCAATCCTGCTGTCATTCATGGCTTCTATTAGGCTGTCTAATTCGATCGTGTCGAACCCTTTATGAAAATCTATGAAAGAGAGAACAAGAGGTTTGTTATATTCTACAGATTTTTCAATGAGTGTTTTTACTGTGTGGAGGTGATCATTGGTACCATAATTTGAACGGAATCCTGCCTGCTCTCTCGGTTGGTAGAAATCTAATTTTTTCTCCAATCTTGATGTCACTACCCTAGTGAAGAGCTTATATATGTGGTTCAACAGGCTAATAGGTCTATAATTTTCTAGGTTAGTTCTATCTCCTATTTTATGCAAAAGGATGGTTGTAGCATTGTTCCACTCTTTGGGCACCTCTCTTTGCTGCAAACATAGATTGAATAGTTTCCTTAATTTATTTAATAGCATATCTCCTCCATTTACGATAGCTTCTATTACGATTCCATCCTCTCCTGGGGCTTTGTTATTTTTCATTTTTCTTAATGCTTGTCGAATCTCATCTAGCTTTATCTCTGGCATTAGTTCGGAACCTTGATTCTTGATCTTCTTTGAAATGGCTTTTTGTATTCCTGTTTTATCTTCTCTACTTCTATATAAGTCCTCGTAAAACTCTTCGACGACCTGTATTAACTCGTCTCTACGTCACAAAAATAAATAATTTGAAATTTAAAAAATTTGACACAAATAATAAGCTGTACTCGTTTTGATATGAAGACTAACAGGTCTGGGCGATTATCAACACATAAATTGGCACTTGTATCGGGAGTATGGAACCCAGTTATTGATAATTGTATGTTATGTTATACACCTGGCCAAAGTAATGACGAATGGTTTTACCTCAAAGGCAAGATGTCGCTTTACCCAGTACATAGCGAGTAAACCCGAAAAGTTTGGAATTAAATTCTAGCTTGCAACTTATGTCCAGTCCAAATATTTATTGAACGGATTTTCTAAGCTGGGGAAAGATGCAACCAGCAACCAAAATCAACTTTCAGGGGAACATGTTACTAACTACTTAGTCGTCTAATGGAACAATTTATAAACAAAGGACGAAATGTATCGACGGATAATTTCTTTACGTCCGTAAAGTTGGCAAAATAATTACGAAAGAAGGCTACCAGCTTTGTTGGATCAATAAACCAAGCAAGAATGGATATTAAGGATATTATTAATACAAACGAAAAGATAAAATTGTATAAGAAAGAGACTCTTGACGGTAAAAGTGTACTAGGGTAACACGCAACAAATTTTCTAGTGCTCGGTTCTCTGCACTCCGGAAAGAAACCGGAAACTATCACGTACTACAACCACATATAATATAAAGTAGACGTTATAGATTAGTATTCAACCTAATCAACTTCAAGAAAATGGCTGTTGCAAGCTTTTTTAATATTTAGATATGACAGGAAAAAATTCTTGGATTATGAATCAACCTCTGAAAAAAATTAACGCACCACTCATATTTTTCTCAATAATCTTTATTTATTGATAACTTACTGTACGACAAGTTGCCCATAGACCTTGTCTGACAGTGACAGTTGCTATGTAAACTAATAGTAGTCTTGTTTTAACAGTAATTTGTATTAAACTTCGTTTTAGACTAAAAAAGAGTTAAAGTTTTCATAAAAAGTGCCGATTAAAGCAAAGTGCTTGTGAGAAACAAGCTTTTATTGTGATATATTCAATTACATGCATGTTTCGAAGTTTATTTGCACAAAAATCAAATAAAAAAATGAACTGTCAAAGAAATGTGTCAACGGAAGAGGAAGTGCGAAAATCGACTCTCCTAGATGAAGTATATTCAATGCGATACGTTGCAGGTTTATTAGGAAGACATCATTCCAGCATCAGTCGCAAGGTGGAGCGATATTATAAAACAGGGTCATAGGAGATTCACCAGCCATTTGCTAAAAAATGAATCAGCATGTTTCAAATGAATCAGCAAATGTTTGAAATGTCGCAATATCACCTTAAATACTTAGAGGACGTGGATACTTATAGGATAATAGTCTTCTATATTGTTTCTATTACCTGATTTAAAAACTGGAGTAATGGTAGCCTCTTTGAGTTTGTCTGGAAAGGTGTTAGTTTTAAGAGATAGAATAAATAGATGTGATAATGTTTTTTAAAATATATCAGTACATCCTTTAAAGATATAGGCAGGGATATTATCACTACCAGTGGCTTTTTTTGGCTTTAATTTTTTTATACTAACCTTCACATCTTATTCACTAATAACTAAAAAGTTAAAAGATCCCTGTGAAGTATCCTGATGTGCGGATGATACCTGATAAATTGAGCTAAAATGATGGGAGAAAGCCATGGCAATATTCTGAGGGCCTGTATATATATGATCGTTGAAAGACATCTCGTGAGGAAAACCGCTGGTTTGTCTCCTACTTCTTATGAATGTCCAAAAACTATTTGGGTCGTGCAAAATGTTATCTTCAATATTATTTTGATGCTGCATAAATTCATTTTTGATTTGTTTTTTAATAGTATTTCTAAGACTCTTGAATTTATTGTTATCGATAGCTCTAGCTTTCCTTATTTTTATATGCTTGCTTAATATGTTTGTTTTGTTTGATTTTTTTAATAAGGCTTGTACTAAAATAAGCTGATTATTTCTGTTTTTGTCTATTTTTAATAATTTTCTTCGGGATGACTTGATCAATGCATTAATTACTATTAAACTGGGAATAAGCCACAATTAAAGATAAAAATACGTTTATTGACGTTTCAATTTCCACTTCAATAAACGTATTTTTATCTTTAATTGTGGCTTATTCCCAGTTTAATAGTAATTAATTTACAATGCCACAAGAAAATAGCTTCAGAACAATATTGATCAATGCAGTCATACAGTTTATCGTAAAATAGATTATTACAATCTGTAGCAGTTATACAATTATACATATCTGATCAGTCAGTGTTCCTTATTAATTGATACAGAAGATTAAAGTCCACCCTGGCATAATCATACCAATAAGACTGTTGTATATTACTCTCAGTGTTTGAATTATCTATATATTGCCATAGCATATACAAGCTTTTGTAGCAGAAGTTTAGACAGCCAGTGAAATAGCTATACTAGCTTATTCAAAGAATGAAACATAGTCTAGTATAGACAAATATAATGACAATGACAATATTTAATGATATATATTAAATTTTAATGGTAGTTATATTAGTTTTTGACATTTTAATGTCATAATACTTACGTACAAATAACATGAAATAAAATTGTTAAAATTTATTTTGAATAACCATTTGTTAACACTGACTTAGTGACTTAGTAACACTGACTTGATAATACAATACACTACGTACTATTATAAATATCGTTATTATAACGAGTCTCTAATTACTAGACTGAAATTATTACGAAACAAAATTAGTTTTATAAATATATAAACACAAATATTATTACAGAAAGTTCTAGGGGTAATGATTATTCCTAACAAATACCGATAAAAGACCGATTAGAATACTCGTATTGTTGTTTGTTTTATACTAATAGAAGACAAAAATAGTATATACTTTTACCCAGTGATTCAAGAATATTGTACTAAAAGTTTGTTTAAGCAGTCCACTAGATATAAAGGTATTACCAGTATACTCTCCTTGCACAACAAATGGAAATATGTACCATATAATATTCATCGGTATTAAGAAGATAACAAATACCCTTTTCTTTAATTTCTTTTATTAATACACTATATCCTCTATATGCTTTATAAAATATACTCTGTTTTATTTACGATTATAATTTTGTTATTTTGGACTCTCTTCTTTGTTCTGTAGTCGTCTCCTTAGACCTCCTTGGGCGGTACACAAGCAGTAGTTTGGTAGGTGTTTTTTTCGTGGTTTCGTTCATGCGTGTTCTTAGAATAAACACGATGTCAAAGATATGGACCTTCTTAAGCTTCTGGACAAGCCTCTCCATAGATTTCACCCGTTGGTAATATATTGGCCTAAATCTTGCCTGGATATTTTTCCTGATGGGAAGTCTGTTCTGTAGTGGGTTGCCATATTGGTAATGATAACGTTCTGAGATTCCCTTCGGTTGCACAACTCGTCTTGTGGGAAGCTTATAACGTCCCTTGTCTTGGTTAACGTTGTACATCGGAACTGCACCCAGCTACTAAGACAGTTAGAAATATTTCGACGTAAACACATACATGAAAAAGAAAACGAACTCTCAGATCATCTGACCTACACCACTAACAAGAGCCTGAATCTGAACAACACCCTGACAGGGATGTGAAGAGGATCGCCTAGCCTAACCTAGACATCGATGACGATGATCACAACTTTCCCCTTCTATACCTTTTCTAAGAGGATAAAGAGGTTGGAGAAGACAAACCAATTCTAGAACATCTTCTCAACGCGCTACTATAAGATCATATCCGTAGAAACCACCATGTGTTAATCGTTGGAAATCTCCGATCGTGTGTATGTGTATAAAAAAATGTTGCCATTGCCAACTGTTGCCAAGTTGCTGCGCCTATTTTTCCACCATTCTCATCTACGCCAACCCTCTGAGTTTTGGCCTACCCCTACTTCTACTTCCCACAGGTTGTGACATAAGGATTCTTCTAGGAGGGTTGTTCTGCTGTGATCTTGCCACGTCTTTACCACCAAATATATATTTATATCTGTAATATATCTCGTAGTTGTACCTGCTTCTCCAAACACCATTTTCACAGATGCCACCGAATATTCTTCTCAGCATCCTTCGTTCCAATATAAGCAGGAGGTTTTCGTCTGCCTTAGAAGTGGTCCATATCTCCGATCCATCTGTCAACACTGGTTATATAAGAGTTTTGAATATGGTTATTTTTGTTTTTTGGCTAAAGTATCTGCTTCTTATATGTCTACTTAATCCAAAATAGCATTTGTTTACTAGGATTATTCTTTGCTTGATTTCTTCCATCATGACGTTCTCCTTGGTGATTAGGGAGCCTAAGTATGTGAATTTGTCCACCACTTCAAAGGTAAAGTTATCAACAGTGAATTGTTGGCCGATGTTTCTGGCTTTATTGTTGGGTGTTAATGAAATTATCTTAGTTTTCTCCTCATTTACTTGCAGGCCCATATTTTTTGAGGCATTTGACAAGGTGGTATAAATTTCTTCTAGTTTGCATGTCGTGCGGGCAACTAGGTCAACATCATCTGCATATGCCAAAATTTGGGATGATTTATTAAGGATCAAAAACTGCTATCGCTTATTCCTGTTATCGCTGTTAAATAAATGGCCAAATTTATGGCCTAGGAAGACCAATTCATTAACCTATTAGTATTATGACTCATTTCAGTAACCGTTCTTCATCAGACACTCAAGCTGATACAAATTTAAACTCGGAAAGTCCAGCGTATGTCTTCGAAAACTTTGTCACTGCAGTGGTTAGCACTGCTGTGGCCTAGGAGGACCAATTGGAGAATGTATTTTTCTTTATTATTTTGTGTTTTTTTGCATATTTTCCATGATAAGATTTCAAAGCCTTCCTGGAGATGGCTTGGTAGCTGCAATTTCTCAACCTCACACATTTTTATCATATGATCTCAATCTTTGCAATATTTGTAGAAAAGATCGAGAAAATTATGGAATTATTTTTATTTGTGATTTAATTAATGATTTGGTATAATAATTGTTACTAATATAAGCAACTTTTTATTTTGAGAACGATTTCCGAATTGGAAATTGAAATGTCAATAAACGTATTTTTATCTTTAATTGTGGCTTATTCCCAGTTATAAATAGTAATTAATTTACAATGCCACAAGAAAATAGCTTCAGAACAATATAAGCAACTTTGACCAAACAAAATTTGTCCATCCTTGTATAATAGCATAATTTATTCTTTAATTCTAATGAACAATAAAATATGGTAATGATGATGTATTTATATGAAGTTTTTTGGATTTTTCCCAATTTGTTTATTGTATTATAACGAGATATAAATCTAAACTAATGGGAAAACCCAAATATTTATGAAGTGTAACTTTTTCAGAACGATATATGGTAAAAAGTAGAACCAGGGTTTATTATACAATAACATGGCAATACTTTAGATATGAGGAAAAAAATTAACTCACTATAAAAGAAACAAAATTCAAAAGTCAATGTATGTTATTTATCATCGTACTCAATTTTTAATTGGATTTATTAAATTGTTTTTTTTAATGGTAAGTAATTTAACAGTTGACCAGAACACATATTATTTGTTACGGAAAGCAACAAAAAGAATAAAGAGGCCATTTTTCAACTCTTATCAAGTTGAAAAACGGCAACTACGCTAAAAGTAACAAACAGAAGGCAGAACGATTTGCAGATCATTTAGAAAGCACGTTCAAACCCAACGACAATGATTGTGAAGAACTCAGATGGGAAGAACCATTCCAAACCAAAGAAAGAATATTGTTAACATCATTGAGAGAAGTATCAACAGACATAAAAGACAATATAAATCCAAAGTAATCTCATAACAAGAGAACTACTAAAAAATCTACCAAGAATAGCCATAGTTAAGCAGACACACCTAACAAATGCTGCTTTTAGATTGAGATATGTTCCCAGATTCTGAACAGTAGCCAAAGTTATTAGGATTGCCAAACTAGTTAAATCTCTTTATCAGGTGTTATCCCACCGACCAACATTACTCTTTCCGGTGATGTCAAAACTATTTGAAAAACTTCTATTAAAAAGATTAAAACCAATACTAGAAAGAAAAAATCCTATACCAAATCATCAATTCGGTTTTCAGAAATAAACATTCCACAATAGATCAAGTTCACAGAATAACGAATATAGAAAAAACATTAGAAGCAAAGAAAGTCTGCTCTACAATCTTCTTGGACACAGCACAGGCATTTGATAAAGTCTGGCATGAGGGTTTTAACTATAAACTAAGAAGAACCTTAGAATCATCTTCTTCTTATGGTGCCCTATTCAATTAGTGGATGTTGGCAACAATTCTGGCATACTTCTCTCGATCTTGTGTAGCTCTAAAGAGTGCATGGGTACCAAGGTTTGTCCAATCCCTTATTTGTCCTTCCGATGCCCCTTTTTCCTTCTATCTTCCCTTCCATAATAAGCTTGAAGAATTGGTTCTTGGAATTTTGAAATATATGACCCAGATATGCAATTTTTCTTCTTTTAATTATTGACAGCAATTCATGTTCTCTGTCCATTCCACACCTTCGTCTTGTCTGTATTAATCTTCATGCCTAGTCGTTCCCCTTCAGTGTTTATTTTATCTATTAGTCGTTATAGCGCTTCCTAGCTATTAGCTATTATAACTGTATCATCAGCATAGCGAAGATTACTAATAGTCTGCTTAGAATCATAGGCTGCTAATAAATATTTCAGAGTAAAACAAGAAGTAAAGTACACCGACTTAACGAAGATTAAAGCTGGCGTGCCACAAGGGAGTGTATTAGGCCTGGTAGTGAACAAATTGTATACGTGTGACATTCCACAGCTAAAACAACACACTATTGCCACCTTTGCGGATACAGCTATGCTAGCAATAGAAGACACTAGTAAAGAATCGACTGATATGTTGCAACTATCAGTAAATAAAATACATACTTGGACCATAAAATGGCGAATATGTTTAATAAGACCAAATATTCACATATTAACTTTATAAATAAAAAATAGCAAATAACCAAGTTCCTTATGCTATATCAGCCAAATACTTAAGCATCACCAAAGACGCGTGGTTGTGCTATAAAGTCCATGTCAAAACGAAAAGAGGGGAGCTTTAGAAAAGAAAATTAATGCCAACTTTGATGCTGTACCAAAGTTTATAATCAATATATTACCCGGAGATTTCAAAACAAAATACTGAGGAACATTGTTGATGCTCCTTGGTATATCCATAACAGCAACCTTCACCAGGAGGTGGATATGGAAACTATGACCGAAGTAATCAAGAGAACAGCAGCAAGTCACGAGCAGTATACGAATATTTTATAGATGTTATACAAAAAAACAGTGTTAAAAGTTTCAGCAACATCCGTACGGCAATGGTTTATGGCCTTGACGGTAAATTTAACCTCTTATCGAAGATTTGCATTTGTATTGATCTGCCAGTTGCAAATATATATATATATATATATATATATATATATAATATATATATATATATATATATATATATATATATATATATATATATATATATATATATATAGTTCAGCTCAACAGGCCTCAAAGGCCTAAGGCTTCAACGGTTTTCTTCCATTTCTTTCTATCTTGTGCTTTCCAATCTTGTACCCGCAGCGACTTCAGATCTTCTTTTGCCGACTCCAGCCATTTTCTTCGGGGGCGGCCTCGTTTTCTTTTTGTACCA